TGACTTCCACAAATGTTTCTTGGCTGAAGAGACTTTCTACTATTTAGAGAACTATGCCTCTAAATGTTATATCAACTTTTCAAATATAACTCATTTACACAGAACTCTTATAAATCAATATTAACTAAATGAACCCTATTATGGTTTAAATTATATCTCCCCAAAATATATGTTGTAAATCCTAACCTGTATGCTTGTGGTTGGAGTCCTGCTGTGGCGATGCAGGATAATTCACTGGACTACAAGGTCAGTTTGAGCTGAAAGCTCATTGGCTCAAACCCACCAGCTGTTCCATAGGGTAGCTATGAGTCAGAACCGTCTTGACAGCACTTATCAACACCAAAAGTATGCCTGTGGTTATGATCTCATTTGAGAATAGGGTGTCTTTATTATGTTACTAAGATAGGGTTAGTGTAGGCTGTGCCCTCAGTCGACTTCCTTTGAGATATAAAAGAGATAAAACAAGAAAGCAGAGACACGGTTAAGATAGATGCCAAGATACATAGAAATTGCCAAGAAACCAAGAGGTAGAAGTCAAAGAGAGAAGCACCTTTTTCCAGAGCTGACAGAAAGAAAGTCTTCAACTAGAACCAGTGTCCTTAATTCAGACTTCTAGCAAACTTTTTGGAGTCCTGTTGTGGAGCATAAACCCTGGACTGCTAACCACAAAGTCAAGGAATCAAACCTTCCAGCTGCTCCTTGGAAATCCTATACAGGATCACTATGAGTCAGAATCAACTCAATGCCACTTAACAACAACAACAATAAGCATGTAGCTCACAAAAAAGTTTATGGTAGTTAATAAACATAAGACTATATTCCGCATCACTAAGTTAAAAACATATAAGTAAATATTAAGTGTAACTATAGGTTTTTAGAGTGGCAAAGATTTAAATGAATACAAACCCATGATAAAATTTGATAGAATCTCATAGAAAACCATGACAGGACATAAACAAAGAGATACTAACATATAGCAACAAAGAATAAGGGAGACAAGAACAATCTTAGTGGAAGCAGTTCCAAGAGATACCAGTCAAAGACTAAACCTCATATTCTGTCTCATGCCAAGATGCTATATAACCTCTACAAGAGAGAAAATTCAGGGAGAAAGGAAAAAGGTTGAGCATTAACCTGGAAGTCAAACTGAGTTGATTTGAACTAACAAGATTAAGTTCTCTATATCAAGAGGAAACAGACAGGAAAATTAAATTCACTTAGATATATAATTGAATTTACATATAAATATTTATGCATAAATTCATATAGATAGATAGATAGATAGATAGAGAGAGATTGAATTGTGTCTGGTAAAAATATGTATGTGATTCTTGTATTTTGTGATCTGATGCAATTATTTTATGTACTGTAAATCCTAACCTCTACAATATTAATGGAGTCTTGGTGTGACACTACAGGATAAACACTGGACTGCTGACCACAAGATCAGTTGTTCAAACCCATCAGCATCTCCTCTGAAACTCCATGCAGGATCGCTCTGCACTGGAATGGACTGACTGCACTTCGCAATAATAACGGCATGTGAGTAAGGCAGGATTAGTGGTAGTTATGTTAATAAGGCAGGACTGTCTACAGGATTAGGCTGTATCTTCAGTCAATTTTCTTTTGAGATATAAAAGATTAACCAAGCAAGAAGAGAGAGGGATTTCAGTACCATCGAGAAAGAAGAGCCAGGAGTGAAGCAAGTCCTCTCTATCGAGGGTCCCTGTGCTGTGAACCTCCTAGACCCAGGGATGACTGATGTCAAAACACATGGAGATATCCAAGGGATGTCAAGCCCACAGATGTTGAAAAAGACAAAGACCTTCCTCCAGAGCTGATGGCAAGACGAAGTCTGGCACCCTAAATTCAGATTTCTAGCCTCCTAAACTGTGAGCGATTAAGATATATATATATATATACATGTTGCTGTTATTAAGTACCATTGTGTTGGTTCTGACTCATAATGACTCTGTATAGGGTTTTTGAGAAATGGCTTGTGAGTCTGAACCGCCAACCTTGTGGTCCAGTGCTTATCCGATAGTGCCATACCAGGAGTCATATACTCTTTATTATATATGTACGCACACACATACACACATGTTGTCATTGCTGTTAAGTGCCATTGAGTTGGTTCTGACTCATAACGACCCTGTGCAGGGTTTTTGAGGAGCAGCTGATAAAGCTTGAACTGGCCTTACAGTGCAAACTGACTTTGCAGTCCAGTGCATTAACCCACAGTGCCACACATATAAACTACTTTGATTATAAGTAAAACCAGTAACTAAGAAAACTAGTCAAATGGTAATATAACATTCTTTAAATGAACTAGTAATTAAAACAATCATTATAACTATTAATTAGATCGAGCCATATGCAATTATCAATAGTTGAGCATTTAATCTACCAAAATGACAATTTCTCATGAATTAAGGTGCTGTGGGTTAATGCGGCAGACTGCAAAGCCTTTTGAAGTGCAACATCTGTGGTTCAAGCTCACCAGCTGCTCCTCGGAAACCCTATATAGAGTCGTTATGGGTTAGAATCAACTCAACGGCACTTAACAGCAACAAGCTTAATATACAAGGAAAGAGGACTTGCTAACCTCACTGAACAGCATTAGAGACATTGATTTTATCATATGCACGTGTGGGGAAACTAAAAAGCCCAGACCTTTACTCTTTAAATTTCTTTCTCTGTGCGAGGGTGGCAAGGTTTTAGATATGAATTTAGGGGGAAATAAATAAAAAGAATTCCTAGACCTGGAGAATCCTGGTTGGCAATTACATGCAAGAAGTAACTCTCCATGCCCCACCTACATGAAGGAGACTGATGACACAGGTCCTTTCAATAGTTCCACATTGTCTATAAGATAAATTCTTAGGTCTAATGATAGTGGTGGTGGTTGTGTGCTGTCTGGTTGGTTCCAACTCATAAATCTTTATCCTAGTAGAAAGACTTATCTTTCTCCAGCGAAGTGGATTTGAATTGCTGGCTTTGTGGTTAGCAGCCCAACACATAAGCCACTATTTGACCATGGCTTCTTTCAGCTTTAATGGAAGACATAGAAAACCTGTCTTCACTCCAATCTCATTTCCCATTGCTCTCAATCCTATTGTGGCATAGATGGTTACTGAACAATGAAGATCAGTGTTCCTCTTCAGAATGGAGAATTGCCCTGGAAAATGACTCTCAAGCAGGGATCACATTTCTCAGTGCATTTAGATGGACCATGTAACTAGATCTGGACAGTGAAGTGTTAGGGAAGTGATGTGTGACAAATCTGCACAGATGGGCTAATGGCATACTGTCCTCCCCCAGTCTGCTGGCTAGATGTCACCAAGGTGACTTTGAAGCCACAAGACTGAATCCAACTGGGCCCCTGAGTCACCATTTGGAGGAAAGCCACATTGGAAAGTCACCAGACCAAGAACTTTTACATTGAACCTGGCACAAGTGAAAAATAAACTTTGATTTTGCTCGTCACTGAGATTTGGGGGTTGTTGGTTACAGTACCATAACCTAGCCCATCATAATGCTCCTACCCTCTAGTATCCTGAACCATTGCCTTGCCTTCAAAGTATCAAGATTTTGCATTTGGCCTTGCCTTGAAATTTCTGTTCTCTCTCTACTAAAAAAATACTTCCTCCCTTTTCTACCTGACAAACCATCAAGGCTCTGTTAATTGTTGTTGTTGTTAGCTGATGTTGAGTTGACTCTAACTCATCGCAACCCCATACACAATGGGATACATAAAGTTGTAATTAGCTCATTTTTTGGCAGAAAATCGCCTAGCCTGTCTTCTTTGTCTGTTTTAGTCTGGAAGCTCTGCTGAAGCCTGTTCAGCATCTCGGCAACATGCAAGCCCCCACTCACAGTCTGGTGGTTGGGCTCGAAGTGTATTCGCTGGGAATCAAAACCAAGTTTTCCACATAGAAGGTGCCAATGCTCCCACTGAACCACCACTGTCTCCCAGACGCAGACTGCCACCTGTCCTATGAGTCCTTCACTGACTTCTCTTGGTTGTTTGTTATCCCTTCTTCTCTACCTCCATTTCCCTCATTCTGTAGTCTCTACAAAACCATGTTGACTTAGTTAAGTGCTCATGAAATTGGCAGTTCTTTAAATGCAAACACTACATCTCATTCTTTATGTTCAGACTAATCAAATAGTGCTGGATGTAAGGTAAATTCTCAATACATGGACTTCAAATTAATCCACTGCCAATCTGTTGCCAGACAGTCAATTCTGACTCAATAGCAACATTATAGGCAATGTAGAATGGCCTCATAGGGTTTCTAAGGTTATAAACTTTAGGGATACAGACCGCCATATCTTTCTTCAAAGGAGTAGCTGTTGAGTTTGAACTGCTAACCATTCAGTTATCAGCTGAGCACTTACCGACAGCACTACCAGGATTTCAGATCAGACTATGTGAATTGAGGTATAAGGGATCTCTAGTTACATCATTTACTCCACTGATTACAGGAGTAATTGGTCTGAATTGGATTAGAGGCTTTTCATTATTGCATGGATATTCCATTAGAGTAGCACTGATCTTGAAATCATTTAAAACATTTAAAAGCATTGCATGGTGCAAAGAAGTGAACATCTAAAATTTCTTTTGCTATTCACTGAAGGATAGTGGAAAATAAAAGCCTTCTCATTTCCAGACTGTGTTTTAGTGGTTGCAGATCATGTTTAATATGTGTTTGGCATGAAAGACATTGGAAATTTGACTTCCCCAGAGTTTTGGCCGGAGACTTTGTACATTCCTTGGCTTCTCTGTAAAATTTGGACTTTTTAAGAGGAGGCAACAAGGGAATTAAAACACAACTTCAATGACATGGAAAATGCTTTACCAGGAAGTGCTTTAGAAACTCTGCCTGAGCCTCTAAGATAGCTTATAAAGTGGGAACACTGCTTTAATTCAAACGGAACACTATTGTTTACAAGAAATCCTGTCCCCCTTCCTTCAAACCCATCGAAGGAGAAGACCCTCATTCCTTGGGGTTGCTGACAACGGCTGTGGTGGAGTAAGAGTAGGGACTGAGCAGTGCCGCAATGGTGTAATGGCGGGGCCCGGAGTCATTTGCTGTAAACACCACCTAAGAGAGAACACAGACACATTTTCTTTTTAAAAGAGTCAAAACACCCACACACAAATAGCAGACATTACGACCCAGTGCCAAATTAATTTCTAAGTTTGATTGTTTTCAATATTTTGCCAAATAGTTTGGTAAGTTAAGTCAGTAGAGTCTGGTTCTTAAGAACAACAGTTCTTCACTGTCACCTACATAATATGTCTCTTGTGTTGTGAATTTGTACTAAAAACCAGAGTGATTGAGGGCAGTCACAGGGAGCTGAATGCTCTTGTCCATTTTCTCAGTTTGCAGACAACCATGGTTTTGGAGAAAGATGGGGAGAATGTGGAAACTGGCCTTTAATGAACTGAGAATTGCTGAGAATGATTACCTAGTACTGCCCATACTATCATAGTCTTCCAAAGCAAAGCCCACTGCTATAGGACACAGCAGAGCTAAAGAGACTAAATCTTTATGTGAGCAGACTCATCTTTCTCCTGTGGAGCAGCTGTTGAGTTTGACTGACCGACCTTGTGGTTAGTGGCCCAATGGTTAGCCACCAGGACTCCTTAACCATAGCCTTAGAACCAAAACAGCAAACCCACTGCCATCGAATTGATTCCCATTAATAGTGACACAGAGAATAAATAAATCTTTATGGGAGCAGAAAGACTCATCGTTCTCCCTCACGGTGACTGGTGGGTTTGAACCACCGACTTTCTGGTTAGCAGTACAGTGATTATCCTACAGTGCCACCAGGGCTCCCTTGCCATAGCCTTGTTGTTGTTGTTCATTGCTGTTGAATCGGTTTTTACTCATAGCAGCCCTGCATAGGGTTTCTGAGGAGCAGCTGGTGGATTTGAACTGCCAACCTTGTGGTTCAAACCAACCTTACAGTGCTTATCTTACAGCACACACCAGGACTCCTACAGACCTGAAATATTAGAGCTGAAAGGGACTATTGTTCCCATTATGCAGATAAAACCTCTGAACTATAGAGTGTCTTGCCACTGTAGGATAAGCACTCGATTGCTAACCACAAGGTCACCAGTTCAAACTCACCAGCCGCTCTCAGAAATCCTATCCAGGGCTGCTATGAGTTGGAACTGACTCAACAGCATACAACAACAGATCAAGTTTATTTAGCAACAGAACCAGACTAGAAAGTAAGGCTCTTGTTGTCAAGGCCACAGATTCCCTCCTCCCCATTTTACACTATTTCTTTATATTTTCTAATGAAAAGAGGAGTAAGAATGTTTTTATTTATATAAGAAGCAATGAAACATAGAATAAAAGCATTTAGTGCAATGTGTAAGTGCTCAGATGCTAACTACCAGTTCAAACCCTCTCAGTAGCTCCATGGGAGAAAAACCTAGCTATCTGCTCCCATAAAGAGCTCTGGTAGCGTAGTGGTTATGAATCAGGCTGCTAACCTCAGGGTCAGCAGTTTGAAACTACCAGCTGTTCCACAGGAGAAAGATGAGACTTTCTGCTCCCATGAAGATTTACAGCCTCGGAAACCCTGTACAGGGTTGCTATGAGTTGGAACCAACTCCACGGCACATAACCACCACCAATCACCACCATCTGCTCCCATAAAAATTACAGCTTAGAAAATGCTTTTGAGCAATTCTGCTCTGTTACATGGGATCTCTAGGAATCATAATCAACTCAATGGCACCTAAAAGCAGCAATTTACAGTACAACTAGAACGTAGAAAATCATGTTGAAATTCTGAAATACATACACATGTTCAAGATAAATTGAGCTTTCTCATTGGTCAAATTGTTCCAGTTAGTCATACACTTCTTTCTAATTGAGTGGAGCTTCTAAGGCTCAGATGCTGGAATAGTCTAAGCGCCCACAGTGAGGTTGTTGCTATTGTTATGTGCCAACGTGTCTGTTCTGCCTCATAGAGACCCTGTTAGAGGGTTACCAAAGAGCAGCTGGGGGTGACCTTTTGTTTATCATTCCAGTGCTTATCTTACAGCGCCACACCAGGACTCCCACAGTGAGGAAAGCTGACATAAACTTGGTTCAGAAGAGAAATGTATATCAGTGTGGAAGTGTTTAATTGTACTTGTTTTATGTACAGGTGAAGGCCCTGCTGGTATTGTTGGATAAACACTAGACTTCCAACTGCAATGATAGCAATTGAAATTCATCAACCTCTCTGTGGAAGAAAGATGAAACTTTCTGTTCCTGTAAAGATTTACAACCTCAGAAACCCTATGTAGGGTCACAATATGAATCAGAATCAACTTGGTGGCTGTGAGTGGATGGGTGGGTATATATCTTTCCAAGTATTCTTATGTTCCAAGTATTGTTGTTAAGTGCTGGTGAGTTGGTTCCATAGCAGCCCTATGAATCGGGGTCAGCAGTTTGAAACTACCAGTTGTTCTGTTGGAGAAAGATGAGGCTTTCTGCTCCCATAAAGATTAACAGCCTCAGAAACCCTGTACAGGGTCATCTTGAGTTGGATCTGACTCTACCGCACACAACAACAATAGGGCTTCCGAAGGGTGTCTGGTGAGTTTGAACTGCCAACCTTGCAGTTCAAACAGGCCTTGTGGTCCAGTGCTTATCCTACAGCACCACACCAGCTTCCAAGCATACAAAATAAATCTGGATACCTTGAGGACAAGAATGAAAAAAAATAAAATAAAAAGGAAAAGCTGATGGAATCACACCAAAACCAAAAACATTAGGTCAAGGAGAGGGGCGAATCACTTAAGATCTCTCTGAAGGAGAAAGGGCACTCCTTAAAGCCTACTTCTCTGGGAGCTCCTAGGGAAAAGCTGTTGTTTCTTATGTGATACTCCCTCCAGTCCCATTTAGTTACCTAGTGTTGATATAATAGAAATACTGCAAGTGGATGGTTTTAAAGAACAGACATTTATGGACTCAGTTTAGGAGGTTAAAAGTTCAAATTCAGGGCATGACTCTAAGGGGAGGTATTTCCTTGTCTGTTCAGCTCCTAATATCTGCCAGCAATCCTTGGCTTTCTTGGGTTTACAGATGCATCTGTCTTTCCCTTTTGCTTGTCTCTGAGTTGATTCTAAGTTCTTTATAATCATAAATGATTAAGCTTAGGCATTCCCTATTCAAGCATGACCTCATTTTTTCCAAATGGGGTCATATTTGCAGGTATAGACGTTAGATTTCAACGTTTAGTTTTAGGGTACACAATTAAAGCCATAGCACATTTCTTATTCTTAAAAATTGTAAATGGCATAATTTGTGTACAAAAATCGATAAAGTGAATTGTTGCAGTTGTCAAGTTCCATTGAGTTTGTTCTGACTCATAGCAATCCTGTGTAGGGTTTCTGAGGAATGGTTGGTGAGTTTGTACTGCTGACCTTGAAGTTAGCAGTTCAGTGCTTAATCTATAATGCCACACAGGCATTCCATAAAGAGAAAGTTGTTGTTGTTAAGTGCCATCAAGTTGGTTCTGACCCATAGCAACCCTATACAGGGTATCTGAGGAGCAGCTGGTGAGCTTGAACCGCCGACCTTGCAGTTTAAACAGCTTTGCAGTCTGGCGCATTAACCCACAACACCACACCAGGACTCCTAAAGTGAATAGACCCAATAATTCCAAAGGAAATTTTCTGATTTTCTATAATAAGTCTAATATGGCCACCTTGGTCATTGGCCTCTGACTAGTGCTGAAGGTTAGTTAGCAACATTCTGAGAGAACTTGTCAGAAGAAGCGGACAGGAAGCAAAGGAAGTCATGGCTAAACTCATCATGGCGTGTTGGGAGTCACATTTGACTGTTGACTCTTTCATTCTGTACATCTATTCAGGCAGGCTCCAAGTTAGCATGATGATCCTACCTAACTAATATGTCCTAACTCAATCCCTTCCATTCCATTCCAAGGACAGGAATATGTTTTTCAAGGTTGAATGAATAGAAAAAGAATGAACCGAGTAACAGACAAGGAAGCCAATATCTAATGAATAGGAACAACATGTCATGGGCAGTACAACTGTGAATCTTTTCAGGGGCCCCAGCAGGCTGAGACCAGGGTGAATAGGGCCTCTGTTAGACTGATACAGTGCTCTAGTGACTGAGGCTCTATGGGTAAATGTCTTGTGATGGAGGCTATCTAGATCCTGGACCCACCCCAAACCAGCCCAGCATCTTACTGCCAGGTTGAAGGAAACCAACAAGATGCTTTGTGATAGATGGAGCTCTACCTTTGGCTTGCAGACCTCTCAAGTCAAATAGGCCTCTATTCTTCCCTGGCAACAGCATCTTCTACAAAACAATCTTATTATATCACTTGAAAGTCTCATTCATGACTAAGCCAGAAAGAATGGTTCCTTTTCAGGTCTAATACCTTTTTTTATGCAATTAGTTGAACTTTAACTCTGTCCAACATGTTTGGATTCGATTTCCATAACAGCCACCTGGTTTAAATAACTGAAGGAATTACATACAAGAAATAAGCAGGAATACTGAGCTTCTCTAATATCTCACAACAACCCCTGAGTGGTGCAAACAGATAACACATTCAGCTGCTAATTGAAAGATTGGCACTTTGAGTTCATCAGAAGAGCCTAGCAAGAAAGGCCTGTCAATCTACATCTCAAAATCCTGCTCTTGAAAACCTGATGGAGCAGTTGTACTCATACTCACACAGGGTCACCATGAGTTAAACTTGATGGTAACTGGTTGGTTAATATCTGGTAAGCACAGGAATAGAGTGTGAACTTAGGGTTCAAAATGCCACTACTTATTTATTTATTTTAGCCTAGTTTCTCATAGGGATCAAGTGTTCTGAGGCACACCCACTGAGGCCAAGCCCAACCTGGACTGTTAGTAAATATTCCTGCCCCTACCCATATGACCTTTGACAAGTTGTCTAAGTTTCTTACGACTCACTTTCTTCATCTGTAAAATGGGGATAATAATAGGACCAGTTTCAATAGGTTGTTTATGAGGATTAAGTAGATTAAATATAGAAAGCACTTATAATAGTGCCTGACGTATGATATGTGCTGATAAATGTTATCTATTGCTGTTATTAAAGTCCTGGTGTGGCACTGCAGGGTAAGTACTGGATTGCTAGTCACAAAGTTGGCAGTTCAAACCCACTGGCCACTCATTATAATCCCTATACAAGGTTGCTAAGAGTTGGAAATGACTCAGCGGCACTTGATAATAAAACAATTGCTGTTTGCTTCTGGCATTTTGTGGATTTCTGATTATAACACTGGGAATGGGGATTGTGCTTTCCTGTGACATTATCATAGCCTACTCTAGGATAGAAAAAACCAAAAATGCCCACAAAACAGCTCAAATGTCTCATACTCACCTCTGCATATTCATGGAATGGAGAAATACCAACTGCCTTCCAGTAGGATTTGGTGTCCAACTCTACTTTATATATGCCTTCTACAAATTTCTCATCTGTTGTGAGTCCATGGAGCTCTCCAAATTCACTGGTTTTCCTAGAATATGCAAAAGTCCAAGTTAAATGGTAAAAATTGTATGTTCTTGATAAGTGCAGTTGAGTCAGTTACTACTCATAGCGACTGAGGAGTGGCTGGTGGGTTTGAATTGCTGATCTTTTAGCTTATCCATCCAATGCTTTCCTACGGTACATAAAGGCACTATAAGACAAAAAGCATGGCAAAGTGACCCCAGAGTTCTTTCTCTTTCTATCTCTCTCTCTTTCTATATATAACGGTTTGTAGATTTGAACTGCCGACCTTGCAGTTCAAACTAACCTTGAGGTTCAGTGCTTATCTTATCTACATAGAGTTGGAACAGACTAGATAATACTTAACCACAACAATATATAAAGGATCCTGGGAGGCACAGTGGTTAAGCCCTCGGTTGCTAACTGAAAGGCCAGTAGCTTCAACCCACCATCTGTTCTGTGAGAGACTTTACTTCCGTAAAGAGTTACAGTCTTAGAAACTCTATGGGGCAATTCTCCTCTGTCCTCTAGGGTCTCCATCAGTCAGAATCTACTTGAGAATAATTGGTTTTATTTACCTCCTGGTGTGGTACCATAGGATAAGCAGTGAACCTCAAAGTCAGTTTGAACTTAAGGTTCCAACTCACCAGCTCTCCTAGGAAACACTGTACAGGGTTGCTATGACTGGAAACTGACTCAATGGCAGTTAACAACAATAGCTAGAAAGTAGTCCTGGAGCTATAAGATAAACATTAAACTGCTAACCCACAAGGTCAGCGGTTCAAACCTACCAGCCTCTCCTTGGAAACCCTATACAGGAACACTATGA